AGAGGAATGCTTAAGTGATGGTTTCCTAATCATATCTATGATCCTTTTACAGAGCGAGCAGTATTAATATTTTGGAAATAATTATGGCTGGATAACAGTAATAGACAAATAGACCTTCACCAGTTCAGATGATGAAGAGGCCAGAGTACTTTGGGCACAGCAAAAATCCTGGCCTTGGAATGATTGGCTTATAGTCATACGCAGAAATTCTTTCAGTCTATCCCTCCTAGTGGTTCCATCTGTTCTGCCCCTGGGCCTGTTGATATATTGTAGGCAAATAGACAAGGTTATCCTTAAAAGGATAGCTCTAAACTTCAAAATGAAAGGGTGTTTGTAGCATACTACATGTAGCCCTGCTTGCCTTAACCTAGCCAGCATAGGTAACAGGAGCCAAGAAACAGTACCACATTACGCTCTAGCCACTTAAATATATACAGGCTTGGCAGGATTCAAGTTTTATCGATACACATTGATAAATGGTGATTTCACCTCACCCTCACAGACCAACAGAACAATATTTCCATTGGTAATAATTGAAATTTAGAGAAAGGGGACTGTAAATGGGGAACTCTTACCCCTATTATTGGACAGTGGTGAAAGAGAAATGGAAGGACAGAGGGCAGAGGAGTTAAAGAGGAGAACAAGGAGCAACCTAATGACTCATCCATCATAGCTTCGGGAAGTGGGCTGAAGGGAGATAACAGGATGCGTCTACACAAGATGCTACATCACCGCAGTGATGAGCTACATTGCCTTGGCTCGTTGTTATGGCGATGTAGCATGGCCAAGCATGAACTGTGGTGCCAATACTACTGTATAGTAGGTTCTAAAAATAGCCATGTGGCATCAGGACTGTGCAGTAAGTCCTAAATGACTGCTCAGTAACAACTGCACAGTCTGCTGCACGTGTAGACGCACCTACAGACTACTTAAACAAACCCCTCCACAAAGTATTTAAGGCTCCAGCCTGGTGGCAGTAGGGTCCTATCCAGGCCAGGCTGGCTAAGTGTAGGAGGTTGAGGGCAGCTACTGCCTCTCCCTGTGTTTCCAGAGCTCTGCTTCCAGTCCCTACCTGCCTGGCTCTTTCCTGATGAATGAACAGAATGAGTTAAAGCAGGTATGATTTGTGGATATTTACTTTTTATATTTTGACATGTGATTATATAAAGCTTTTAACAATATACTGTCAGTACTGAATTGTCTGCCCCCACACCCCTATTTTTGTGCAATCCAGAAAATTTAAATGGATAAAAAAATCAAAATAAATGCTTAAAAATAAACATCAATTTTAGCTGTCGAAATGATAAAAAAATGAAAATCAAATTCCACCAAGCATAAATATATACCAATTTGAGACTTGTGTCTTCTGTTGTGCCCGTGTTAGATAGATTAAAGTTAATGAAGGTACACTCTTTGTGTTACTATCACACCTTTATTTTACCTTTAGGCTAGGGACAGAAGTTATACATAAACTGGTTGAAGTGATCAGAAACCAGTTTAAACCTGTAAAAGAACCGAAGTTCAGTGCACTTAAACTGCTTTCAAAATGGCCAAAAGTAGTTTCAAATAAACCTGGTTGGGTGGAGCATCAGACTTAACTAATTTAGGTCAAACCAGTTTATGGAACTTCTGTCCTAGATCCCCTCCCAGTTCAAGTTAACTCACAGTCCCCCAGCATCATATGGTGCTTTGTAGCCCTAAGCTGTGCTGTTTGTTTCAATAAGCAGGGGCTTCCATGCCCCTTTTCTCCCGAGCCAGAGCACTATCACTCTGGGTGGCTGAGGAAGGGGTGGGAGGGAAAAAAACTTGCCCCTCTGGCCCAGCACCAGATCCCTAGCTGGGTGCTGCTGGTTGGAGTGGCAGGGGGAGAGGAGGGAACTGGACCCCCAGCTCGGTGCTGCCAGCCTGGGGAAGGGAAGGGGAGTCTGCAGTGGGGGCTTGACTCTGCCCCCCCAGAGCCAGGAGCTAAGGGAATCATGCCCCTTCTCAGCCTTTGGGCTGGCTAATGGTAGGGGGGTGGAGAAAAAGCCCACATGGGAGCTTGTCTCCACCCCCAAAGCTGGGAGCCAGGAGTCACAGCCCCTTCCAGCCTCTGAGCTGGCAGAGGGCAGGACAGGAGCAGAAGCCCACAGCAGGGTTTGGCTCTGCCCTCAGGAGCTGGGAGCCATGCCCCTCTCAGCTGGCTCGGAGGCTGAGAAGGGGACATGGCAAGGGAGCTCTAGCCCTGCTTCCACCTCTGGGGGAGGGTGGAGCCAAGCCCTGGTATGGGCTTCTCCCCCTTCCCAGCCAGCTGGGAAGCTAAGAAGGGGGCATGGCTCCTGATGAGCCAAGCCCTGGTGCAGGGTTTTCCCAACCTCCCAGCCAGCTCAGAGGCTGTGAAGGGACCTGGCTCCCAGCTCCCAGTTCCCAGCTCCCAGCTGTGGTGGGGCAGAACTAAGACTCCCCTCCACCCCTCTCTCCTCAGCCTGACTTCAGGCTGAAACAGGGGGTATGACTAGAGGACTCCTGTCCTGCTCCCAACTCTGAGAGGCTTCAGATCCAAGGCCTGCTGTAGTCTTTCTCCCTATCCAGCCTGGAGGCTGAGTGGGCATAACTCCTGGCTTCCCACTCTGGGGGCAGAGCCAAGCCCCTGTTATGGGCTTCCCTTCCCCCCTCCCCTCAGCCAGTCCCCAGCTGAGGATGGGGCATGGCTCTTACCTCCCTGCTCTGGGGGCAGAGCCAAGCCCAGGTACTGATTTTCTTCCCCCACTGCCTCAACTGTCTGGGAGGCTGAGAAGGGGGCATTGCTAGGAGATTCCAGCCCAGCTCCCAGCTAGCGGGGTGGAGCAGAGTAAAGCCCCAGTTTCAGCTTCCCCTCTGCCCTCCCCTCCCCCCCCCCGGACCATTCCCAGCTGAGGATCCAGTGTCAGGCAGGATAGGTGTGCTTCCCTGCCTTGCACAGCCAGCAGGGAGGCTGAAGAGGGGGCTTGGATTGGGGAATCAAAGAGCTCCAGCTTACTGCAGTGACCAACAGGCTGGGAGGCATCTCTAGAGCCTCCTGGTTATCAGTATGGGCCACTGCAGGGGTCTGGCTGCCTTTTCTGTTCAAAAAGTGAACACAAGTTCACTTGCTTATTGGTTCAATCTATGCAGTTTAAAAAAACCTGCAAATATTTAATTGATTCAGGCTTTTTGACTGTCTGTACTTAGCTTTAGAGGACCCCTTCCTCACTCTGGTCTGTATGGCTTCTGCTATGTCAGATGCTTTAGTAAACTACCTCACATTTATCATGGAATTGCTGTGGGGTAACTTGTAGGGGTGTGCAAAATTTCACCGGATATTTCATTTTGACACTGTTTTGACCCATTTTGAAACAATATCTAAATGAAATGAAAGGCTTTGAAACAGTCTCAAAATGAAATGAGGGTACTTGAAATGTTTTGAAAGTTTTGAAACATTTTAAGTTTCGAAGCTGGGCTTGCTTTCAGGGAAACAGAAAGTAAGGAGAGGGAGGGGAAAGAGGGGGGGGAAGGACTGCTCTGATATTGACATGTGTAGCTGGCCATTGACTGCCATCCTTCCCTGAGGTCCCTTCCAATCCCAGTGCTCTGGGGGAGGGACAGAAAAACAGCATAAAAAGCAGCTTTGTTTGAACTGAGCTTTCTCTATGCCCTGGGGTCAGTTCTGAGCAGTGTCTACCAGCAGCTCAGCAGTGTCAGAGAAAGGCTACCACTTTCTATGTGCTAGCCTGTTACTAGCAAGTGGGATTCAATACCTTTTGCTTTCTATACCCCTTTTATTATTATATTCATTCATTTCTTTCAATTTATTCTTCCCTCAAAATCCTCTTTTTGTTTTTGTTAGTTTATTTTGATTCTTTTCCCCTAGAAAAGAAATCTGTGCTTTCTCTCACAGTGTGCATTCATACATTTAATAGATTTCATAGATGTTAGGGCTGGAAGGTACCTTGGAAGATCATTGAGTCCAGCCCTCTGCCCTAGGTCAAAGGATCCCAGCAAGATAAACATCCAAATGTTTCTTAAAGGAGTCCAGAGTAGGTGCTTGCACCACCTCTGGAGGCAGCAAGACAGTGGTGCCGTGCCTGTATGAGGCATGCAGGGAGTACTTGAGGGAAGAGCTGTGCAAGGCAGGTCTGCAGATGGCCTTACACTTCACCTTGGATATCTGGAACAGCCAGGGTGGAGATCTTGCATACCTCTTCCTCACAGGGCACTGGTGTGACCAGTCAGGCCACCGGTGGGCTCTCCTTCAAGCTGAGGTGATGGATGAGTCCTACATGGCAACAGAGATCATGGGGGCCATGAACCGCTTGGTGCAGGGATAACTTATTGGGCAGGGCAAGCTCACCTGCGGGTTCATTGTCAGCGACAATGGGGCCAACATGGTCAAGGCAGTCCATGATACCAACTTTGTTGGCATCCGCTGTATGGCACACAAGTTCCACCTCATTGTCAGGGATGCCTTGGAGGGGGACAGGGCTGCCAGTGATGGAGCCAGCACCACAAGCAAGCTCATTTCGAAATGCAGGAATGTGGCAGGCTACTTCCACCAGAGCATCAAGGGGGGCAAGATGCTGTCGGACAAACGGGCAGAGCTGAACATCTGAGGCAACTGAGAGCCTCAGCATTGGCAATGCCCTCCTTAGGCAGGTGATTCTTGTAGTGAGGAAACTTCAGAACCAAGTGGACAAGTTCCAGGGGATCAATATTCCTGGCTGGGTCAAGCCGATGTCACCAGATGTGCAGGCACTGGTGAAGTGGCTGAAGGAATGCATCAGGAAATGGCTTGTTCCTTTGCAGTCCAGTATGGTCCAGAGCCCCACCATCAGGCAGGTAGTGCTCAGGCCTTGGTGGCTGCCTATCTCACCAAGGATGTGGAGCTGCTGTTGTGTGACCCCTTGGCCTACTGGGCAAGCCACAGTCAGATGTGGCCAGATGTGGTCACAGTTGCCTGGGAACACCTATTCTGTCCACCAACCAGTGTTCCAAGAGAGGGTGTTCAGCATTGCTGGGGATATAGTGACACCCCACCACACCTCCTTGAATCCCGGTTTGGTGGAGCAGCTGGTGTTCCTGAAGGTGCACCTCCCACTTCTGGGGTTCTGTAAGCTCCACCTGCAGACGGAACGAGTGCCACCCTCCAGACTTCCCTCTCTTTTTTTCACCTTTGGGTTTCACAACCATCTAGTGCCCCACTCTCTGAGGTGGAGAGTGCACTCACTATATCACCAGCCAGGAGGGGAAGAACATGTCCCTGCTGAGATCCCATGCAGGGACAAACTCAGAGGTATGGCCTGGGGCTGTGGGGGGGGGGGGGGAAGAGACCCCAGGACCTGGGCATGTCCACTAAAACTGCCCACTGCCAGGGTCGGGAGGCCTGGAGGGACTGCCAGTGGCATGGCAGTCCCAGGAAATGCCAGGACCAAGGATCCCTTTGGTGAAAGGCAGGTAGGAGGTGCCATAACTTCCAGCCACCACACACATACACACAGAATCCTGGCTGGCAAAAGCCCAGACCCATCACGTCTTTGACAGGCCTGAGGCTTGCTGGTCACAGTGGAGTTGTGAAGCTCTAAATGAGCTCAGCTTAGCTGCCTGGGATGCCAGCTTTCAGGTTGAAAAACCATTTGTTAGGCTGAGGAAGCACGTGCAGTTGGTGTGTGTGCTTTTCCTGGATGGAAGGAATAGTAAAGAAGCCAGAGGCTGGCATGCAATGCAGGCAAGAAAGCCAGTTAGTGAAAATGGAAGTGGAGGCATCAGGGAGTGAGGGACAGGCTGGGTTGGGGGGAGGAGGGAAAGGGGATGTAGCAGGTAAAAGTGGAGAGGTACCTGGGGAGTCAGATGTCCAGCAGGAAGAGCTCACACACCAACTGCAGGTGCTTCCTAAGCCTGATAAAGGATTTTTCAACCTGAAAGCTTGCTAAGGTATATTTCTCCAACTATTCAGTTGGTCAACTAAAAGATATCAGATTGACCCAAAGAACCTTGTCTGCCAGTGCTATGTCCTTAGATCAACACAGCTACATCCTATACCCCTAGCACCTGCCCCCAGTCAGCTGACTGGAAGGACACAGGGCCCAGGGGACATCTAAGCCCCAGGGCTGGGGGTGGCAGGGAGAGTTCTCTGGCAGCCGCTGGAGAAGAAGCTCCTGCAGGAAAGGAACGAAAGGCTCTGTGACAGTTTGGTTGCCTGAGATGCTAATGCTACTGTGCTGCAGTGCTTACCTGTTGTTAAAGTGGTGGACCAGGCTGAGGCTGTAGGGGAGGAGGAGACCTCGTTGGGGCACACTACTGTGTCATGTAGAGGCCCCAGCACCAGTGAGAAGGCACCTTAACACACACAAAAAGTCACACGTGTCATGAGTTTTGCTTGTCAGCAGCTTGAGGTGCAGTTTCCCAGAAACCCCTGCACTTATCTCCTTGAAACCTGTCAGGCTTCATGGCCTCAGAAGGGGCTACCATGCCTGCTGTTTTCACCCTGCTGTGCCTTAACGCACACATACACACAAAGTCACATGTCATGAGTTTTGCTTTTCAGCAGCTTGAGGTGCAGTTTCCCAGAAACCCCTGCACCGATCTCCTTGAAACATGACAGGCTTTGTGGCCTCAGCAGGGGCTACCCTCCCTGCTATTTTCATTAAAGTCAGGCAAGAAATGACAAAGTAATAGGCATTTTCGTGATTCCCCATTATAGCCCATGGGCAAAACGTCAAAATGCATCGAAACAGTGAAACAGTTTTGACAAAACAAAATGGAACAGTTCTTTGAAATGAAATGAAACAATTAAATGAAACACTGTCCCTTCAAAACAGTGAAACAGAAATCAGAATGAAATGGTACTGTTTCATACAGCCCTAGTAACTTGTTTGTTATAGTTGAATTGCTGCAAAAGGCTGTTTGTGGCCTCACTTATTTCAGTTTCAGCCAAAGCTATTTGTTTATTCTTCTTTGTTTCAGTTGATTAGGTTCAATAGTAACTAAGAAAAGCATACATAAAGAGAATGGCTTTTACATAGGAGTTTGTACTGGCTTAACTAAACTGGTGCATATCTACCATTTTCTTTTGGTAGCCTCTACCATTTTCTTTTCCATGGTAGAATAGCTTCTAAACCTTCTGCTCAGCCATTACCTCTATGCTATTGCCTGTCACCTTTGATGTATTAGGGGAGGATTTTGCCCAGAGTGGCAAGGCTTACAATCAGCTTTATGGCATTCTGTGTGTCACCAATGGCAACAGGACTAGAAAAAATTCCTCAAGACAAGTAAAACTGGAATTCAGTTGCATAACCTGCTCACAGAGTGCAAAATCAAGACAAATCATCACAAAAGAATTGTGCTACTTCAGAAATAGCACTTAGCCAAAATTTACAAGTGTGGGAAGCAGTGGTCCTACTCAAAGCAGATAAAATAAACATTTAATGCCTCTAAAACATTTTTAATACTTAAAATGGAAAGAACACTAAGGTCTCCTCCATACTGGAACTTTGTGTTTGGAATTTATATCTCATAAGAAGTAAAGCTTGTTTCAATCACAGGAGAGCACATGCACAGAGTTAATCTGAATTGTATTTATGATCCAAAACATTCTTAGGTATCCTAGATTTTAGGGCACTTGTACATATGCTGGGGGTTTAGTTCACCCTAAATTAAAATAGTAGGTTTTTATTTGGTGTGTTTTTAACTGTGTTGAATATAAACCCACCATTTCAATTTACGGACTTCTGTCACTGTGATGGAACAGTGATGGCCCCTGTCACCTAATGTCCCTCACCTCCCCCCACTGCAGGCAGGCTCTGCTGAAGAAAAAAAACAAAACAAAATGGTGAGGGGTCCAATCCTCCCCCCCCCCAGAGCCTGCGCGCCTCTCCCGTGGCTGGGGGGGCGAGCTGCTGATGGCCCATGAGTTGTGGGGGGCTCTGGTTCTTCCCTCCATGGTGGTGGCACTCCTTGGGTGAAACCTGCCCACTAGCAGCCTGCTTGGGTGGTCCTAGGGGGTGCCACTGCCACAGAAGGAAGGACTGAGTCTTCCTGCAGGTCAGGGGCTCTGCGACCTGGCAGCAGCTCATACAGGCAACTTCTGCACTAGTGGTGCCCCCCAGGACCACTTGGGCAAGGTGCCAGCAGGCAGGTGAGGCCTGGGGAGGGGACGCTGCCACCATGGAGGGAAGCACAGGGACCCCCTGCAGGTCAGGGGGTGCTTGACCTAATAACAGCTCACTCCCTGGCTGCAGGAGATGCAGGCAGGCTCCACCAGAGACAAAAAAAAGGGGCCTCTCGTCGCTTTCTTTTTTTTCCCTCAGTGGAGACTGCTTGTGCAAGCTGCCACCAGATCACACAGCCCCTGAGCTGTGGGGGTCCCAGTGCTTCCCTCCATGGTGGCAGCACCCCCTGGAATAGCCCAGGCAGGCTGCTAGCTGCGCGGGTGCTGCCCCAGCTCGCAGGCAGCACCTGCCGGATCCAATGGTGCATGGGGTGCTGGAAGCCCAGCTGTGCTCGGGGAAGCTCAGACTTGGTGGGCTTTCAGCACCCTGTTCACTGTCTGCGCCACCTTCCTGGCACCTGGAACTGCCTGGGAGTGGGCTGGCTTGCCCTTGGGACAGTGTGGGAAGGTGACAGGAAGGTCGCTGGGTGTGCTGGGAGCTGGAGGATGCAGGGGGGACAGTGCATGGGGTGCTGGAAGCCTGCCAAGTCCCAGCTTCCCTGAGTATACCTGGGCTTCCAGCACCCCATGCACTATGCCTGGCACCATCTCAGGATGTATCACTGTAATTTGTTATGTAGCAAATTAAAATAAATCGGATGTGTTTTGCTTTGCTACGTAAAAAGTCAGTTAAATCGAAATATGCCACCGCCCGTGTACCCAGTTATGAAATTTAATTGCAATATCCTGTTGCATGTGTACACTGTGATGCAATGAAATTGCTAAAAAGGGCAATTAAATTGCTAAAAGTGGCAATTTGGTCATGTGTACAAAGGTCCCTACAGGTTAAAATAATTCTCATTAGAATGTAGTCTAACAGGAATCTCCCCTTCAAAGAAGATTTAAGCCAAAAGTCTATAATACTCCAGCACAAGAACTAGCTGTTTAATGCAATCCACATATCTTGTTATTACAGGCAAAGTTGCCTCTCTTGGCAGAGCCTTGAGCAAAAGGAATAAGTTGCTTCACCTCAGAAATAGTTGTAGGAGGCGATATACACTCATAGACACCCCTCTGAGCAGGGATAGATTCAGAGGAGGTACAGTGGTATGGCTGCATTCTGCTTTTGAATGGAACTGCACCATGGGAGTCTCTGGGGACCTTTTAAAGTCCATAAAACAGGTGAAAATCCTGTCTCCCTTCCTCTTCTTGCTGAAAGGTTTGTACCCCCCTCCTTGTCCCTTTTCTCCTCCCCTGCTTGCCTTTTCCCACTGTCCCAGGGTTGGGGAAGCACCAGAGTCATTCCTACTTTTGCTGGGGCTGGGCTTAGTGGGGGGTATGGACCACACAGCAGGGATGGATGGGGATTCCCACTCCAGGACCAGGCAGGGTGGGGGAAAATACTCTTCAGCTGCTCTGTTGCCACCATTTCAATTTAGGGACTTCTGTCACTGTTTCCTCCT